CCACCCAGATTCTGCTCAGTGCTCTCAGCTGAGTCTCCAGCTTTTGGCTTCCGCCACGCCAAACAAATCCACCCTGTTACACTGTCTCCTTGTCTTGTCGTGCCTTTTTTCCTGGTAGTGTTTAATGCCTGAAAGGCTCCTTCTCTGTTAAATTGCTTTCAAGCTGTCTAGGCAGTGGCAGGAGTTAGGGAGGAGGAGGAGGAAGGGGAAAAAAACCATTTTCAGTAAAACAATGCAACTGAAGTGGATTCCAGCACTAGACACAGAGCAAGGGGCAAGCAGCAAGAGCCTGGTCTAAGCAGATCAACTGAATGGTAAAGCTGGCTTCTAGAAATATCATTGGAGTTTGAGAGTGGAGGATGGGTAGGGGGGAAGATGTGGGGCGGGCTTCTTTTTTTCCTTAAAATTGAACAGGTCTTGGACATCATGTGTATTCGGGAGCGAGTGGAGACTTTGGGGACAAGGGTGTCCTTAACATCAAAAGGGAAGGATTTAGCAGAGGGGCGATGCAGGCACCATTGATTTTAATTGGTTCTAATTTATGACCTTTAAATTTACGGGGGGCATCAGTGTGCATGAGCAGCATATGCAAGTCTGAATGCTATGCAGAGAAAACACTAACTGTGAAATGTTATGGTGCTGTTGAGATAGCTCGGTAGCCAAGATGGAGATCTCTTAAGAAGAAAGTTCTCTCCAGATCAGGACCTCCTATGGATTTCCAAGACCTCAGGAAATACCTTTCCCCTCATCACTATCACAGGGCAACATCTCACTCATTAAATCTCAAAACATATGTATATTCTCCACAGTCTCTTCTTTTAAAAGGAATTTCAAAATAAATCTGTTGAAAGTAACACTTTTCTCAGAGACTGCAGAACTTTTAATGAGAGCATATCTTTTATGCATCTGGTCTTTGAAAACAGACTGGGCAGAATAACATTTCTCCATGGAACAAAGTGAGGCGCTAAATTGCTAAAATAATACAAACTGCCATGTGTATGACACACGGGGGGTGGGGGCATTTTCTTTTTCTTTGAGACCACTGTTTGACCCCGTGGAAAATAGCTAAAGTTCTTTTGGACCTGTTGTATTTTCAAGTAGTCTTTTGAAGGAAGGGATGTTTATGCCTGTTTTTTTATTTTATTTCCAGCCTTCACCGTCAACCATGAAGGCGACGCATCTCCTCTATGACCACCTTTGGGCCTGGGTTCTCCTCATGAGCACACTAACTGGAAGAAGGTGGGAAACAACCTTTTAAAAAAAAAAAACATAACCCACAAAAACCGATACACAAATATTCATTTGGAATGCTTTTTTTATTATTGAGTACAAGTGAATAAGAAAGATGTAGTGCATGGGCTGGCCTATTCCTAATTGTATTTGGGAGAAGTTAATCCTGCTCAAATCCCAGCTAAGTCAAAATACCAGTAGATTGAAAGAAAACAGTGGTTTGTTTGCGTAACATCTTTTAGTGGAATTGCTATTCAGAAAGAGTTCACCAACGACCATTTTACTCATTCGAAGATTAGATGAATGATTTGAATACATCTAAACATTAGACCATCCTTTGTGCAAGTAAAGTTTGCAAGAATTTATTTTGCATAGGAAATGAAAGACTGCAATTTTAGTTTACCAGTCCTTAGATGCACTCCTTCTGTTTTCTGTCTTCACCGAAATTAGGGGAACTGAGCTGCTGATTCTAATAGACCCTTACATTTAAGCATTTAACTCGTTATAAGGGGAACTTACTCATGGGACTCTTTTTTAGCACTGGAGTATTTAGTACTAAAGTACTAAAACAGAGTACTAAAATAGAGGAGGTTTGAATATGTGAGCAACTGTGCCTCAGTGCTGCATCTTGGAACAAACAAAAAATTTTGAACTGGGAGGCAGCAGACACGAGGACAACATCCAGATCCGTTCTTATCAGCAGAGAAGTTGGCTCTTATATCGATGGAAAGGGAAATGCTCTCTGAATGTGTTGAACTGAGAGGGACAATTTTTAAATTCTGAGACACACCTAGAGAAGTCACACTTCTTTCTGACTGTAGAATGAATGTGCCATTTTGAAATCTGCTTTCACTTTGAATGACTAATTATGGCAAGTATTTCTGTATCGGTAATGCCGGTCGCCTTTCCTTTACTCAGCAACACAGCTTGTGAAAGAACAGAAATGTGCATTGGTGTGAGGGATCAGCTCCTCAAATTTACCTTCAGCATTTCATCTGAAAGGAGGGGTCTTTAAATAAAAAGGAAGAATATAAACAAAAGAGGTGTACAACACTTGCTTTGTGGCGAAGGCCCAAAAGAATTGATTTCAAAAAGACACACTCATGCCAGCCAAAGACAAGACAAGAGAACTGGCCCATGAGTCTCTTCCTCTCTTTCATCATTTTATTTATGCCATGCACACGTTTCACTGGAATTGGGTCTTTTGAAGTGAGAATCAAGATGCATTTGTCTGATACTGAAAAATAATATGAGTTGTCACTATTATAATGACCTGTAGATGGAGTTAGTGCACAGTGTTTTATTACACAGTTGTTTAGTGTGAAACCACAAACACAGTCACTGACAATTTCCTTCAAGATGTTCAAACGACACAAGGAAAAGCAGTCATTTCACAGTTAAAATGTTTTTAATCTGGTTTATGGCTGCTAACAGAATAGGGGTGGCAGAGGATGGGGGGGGAAGGGGCCCATGGAATGAAGAGTCATCAGTGTGTGATCAGAAAGTTATGTTCATAATGATAATGCAACGTGTTCTTTTCTTAACTCTGGTTGATTGTGTTAAAGATAAGCCATAAAGATAAACCATAACCATGAGAAAAATGATTGTTCTCATTTTCTAGTGTTTTGCTTTATGCTGTGCTCATGTGACTATTATATATAGCCCTATTCATGCAGAAATGGGAAGCCTCTCGACTAAAGAATTTAAACAGCAAAAATGACATAATACCTTTAAAAATCACATAGACAAATGGGTATCATTAATGACAGATTCTCAATATTACCATCAATACTTCACTTAGATCTTTTTTTTTTCTTTATGCATAGGCACGTATGTATCAATGCATTTACAGAGGTACCAGGTAAAAATCTAGACAGGGTTAAGCATCCAAAAGCATGTTAACTTGGATGCTCACTGAAATCATTATTACTTAAGGCTTTATTCATTTAAATCCCCATTAGTTTCCCTGGGACACCCTAAGGTGTATATTCACTGGATTGCATCTACTGTAATGAACCAACTTAATACTCAGATATGGATTCAACCGCAGTCTGATTATTAAGAATACTTCAGGTAATCAAAGCGTTGTGTTAGCATTGAAATTGATGGAACATGTACAGGAAAAACACTTGATATAGGTGCTGTAGTCCCATTTTAAAGCAGTTTGCATAGGAAAGCCAGAAGTTGGTATAATTCTTCTCTTCACTTCTTGTGCTCAACAATTCTTGGGTTGCTACATTTCTAAATGGGTTTTTGCTTCATGCTCAAAATCTTTCAAAGACTTTTGTTTTGTGCATCTGAAAAGATAGGGCAAACTCACGCATCATAGTGTCAGCAAATTATGGCTAATGAGGGGATAACAGTTTGTTTTTTTGGAATGCAGATGACCTTCAGATGTTACAGAAAAATGCAACTAACCTGTGATGGCAATTGTAGGGATCCATTGTTACCAGAAAGTAATGAAGTGCCCCGTTGTATCTTCATGAACAATTTATATGGGGGCAATATTATTCCTGATGAGTAGCATTTTTGAGAAATTCTTCTCTAATGTTTAATTAATATTATAGGAAATTAATAAATATAAATCAGTCTGCAAAAATATGCTTATGATGGGAAACGTATTGCATCTCTACAAATGAGCTTAATATGCCACAGAGATTCCTTTAATTGTAATTACTGCACCAAGCTTAAATACACCCTGCTATGTCCTTATATACATTTTAGTGATAAACGGAATGTGTGTACCTGATGATCAAATTTAATAAAGATATTTTCCAGTTTTTATTCAGGATGCCCCTTTTTTCTGGACATGCAAATGCCATAGCTGTTTTTCTTCCATCTGTAAAATTATGCACTTAAATACTTAGTCTATGAAAACTGAGTGTTTCCGTATTTAAGCTTATCGGCCCTACAAATATTCAACATACACATTTTTGGAAGATTTAAATTATGTCTCAATATTACATTATGATTTTCATGAACACAGCAGCAATTGTTCAGAATAATTGTAGCCTATGAGACATTTATTCGCATTGCTAACATTCACGGGGAAGTCCAATTCAAAGGGGTTTTTGAAAATACAATTTGTGTTAATCACATCATATCTGATAGTCATGGAAGGCTGATTCAGTAATAATGAATGTGACAAAGTGATCAAGAGGAAAGTGACTTGGGGTTCAAGGGCTGAGTCCTGCTGAGTTTACACTGGCAAGTGTCCCACATTGCAAATAGGATCCTTCCCAGTTAAAGGGCAGAAGAAGGACTCCAAGATTTTGGCTGTAAGACAACCATGATAGATGATTAGGAGAAAACAGGATGACTTGTACTTGAAAATGCAGAAGGAGAACCACTTTCTTAATGAGGAGAACTTCAGGTAACTGAAAAAGAGGGTGAAAGTTAGCTCAAGGCTGGGGTGCGTCCATGGAAATTAGTTTGCTCCAGGGATATACGCACCAGAACCGACTATTATTCTGATAGAGAAGAGGTATGCAACCGTTCTTAACAAACTTTCTTCCAGTTGACCTTTTGGCTGTGTTTAACATTTCAAGCTAATTGTAACAGCCTGATTCTAAGACTTGCTCTGTCAACCACAAAACCATGGCCCTACTTTCCAACCGCCAGGGTGCCAGCACTGTGCTGCTGTCAGCTACACTGAGTGCAGCTGCTTACCTATATGTGATTGTATTAGTAGGCACGAAATCTGGGAGAAAGATGGGGAAACCATATTGATACAGGATGTAATTTCCTGTTCACCAGGAAATAATTGAGGTATGTCTCATTTTGGCATACTAGATAAAAAAGAATCAATAATATTTAGAGGCCAGAGCTCTATCAGCATCTTGTAAGGATAGTGGAACTTGCCACAGCTAATTGTGTCTAACTGATGAGGAGCTGGGGTAACTTGTCAATTAACAGCAGCACGTTATGCTAACCTTACAGGAACATTAATAGGATTCTAACCAGAAAGTGTGACTGTGCTTGCATTTCATCACCAGCAAACACACAGAACTGCACCATTCCACTATGATGCTAAAAAACTCACAGGGATGTGTGCACGCATGGACGTGAGCATTAAATGCAATTTTAAAGGTACATTGTTAAAATCAGTGGTGCATAATGCCAACAAACATGTTTGCAGTTACTCCTTACTTCTAGGAAGAGATTTAGAATTATTCCTAAAGAATTATTTAAGTTACAGTAAATTTTATAGCAAACTGTTATAGAACTGAAAACAAAGGAAACATAACACTTCTGGAATTACAAACCCTTTTGTTTGGAAGGCAGAAATACTCTAAACACAAATGATGAGGTAAGCAATAGCCCATATTGCCTACTTCTAGGGCTTGCAGTTTGGCCTAAGCTTTTTTGATGAATATGTATACTTTAAAAAGAAACTATGCAGGAGGAAGGTTTCTATAATGCTGCCATAATCTGCCTTGATGGAAGAGATTTTGATCTATAAATCAGTATGAGCAAGATTAAGCAGATTTCAGAATTATGATTCTGTAGGTTTGTTGGTGGATTAATGGTTTATAATGTTAACAGCACTGGTTTCCTCCCCCCCCCTCCCCCAGCTATGGACAAACTTCCTTACAAGATGAAATTAAGGACAACACAACAATATTCACCCGGATTCTGGACCGTTTACTTGATGGTTATGATAATCGCCTGAGACCGGGATTGGGAGGTATGTGATATAATTTCTGAACTGACTTTAAGAACAAATGTATCCCAATGGCTATTGGGATATATAATGGGCTTATAAAACAATAAAAAGACTACAGAATAAACAGCAAAGCACTGGGCAGTCATCCACCCACAAGTGTACCTCTGCCAAAAACTCATTTGCTTCTCTATAAATGCGTCTTAATATAAGGCTAAATATTATGATCCAAAGCCAAACAAAGGTGTTTCATGGGTCTCTTGTAATTTTGAACATAATTGAACATGATGGGCCTTAAAGACCAAGTAAATATGCATTGGGTTAGGCTTAACTGTTGAAACCCAAGTCAACAGACATTCTCATTTTCTCTCTCTGACGTTGCAGCAAGCTTTTAGGGACATATTATTTCCCAGTTCAATCAGATTTACTTTATGCTTTGTTCCTGATGAACTCGAGTTGATGATGACAACAGTGATCCTAAGCATGTTTACAGGAAAGTATCTCCTATGGACGTGGTGGTGCTGTGGGCTAAAGTGCAGAAGCCTGTGCTGCAGGGTCAGAAGACCAAGCAGTCATAAGAACGAATCCACGTGACGGAGTGAGTGCCCGTCACTTGTCCCAGCTCCTGCCAACCTAGCGGTTCAAAAGCATGCAAATGCAAGTAGATTAATAGGGACCACCTCGGTGGGAAGGGAACAGCGTTCCGTGTCTAAGTCGCACTGGCCACGTGACCACGGAAGATTGTCTTCGGACAAAACGCTCTATGGCTTGTAAACGGCGATGAGCACTGCCCCCTAGCGTTGAACATGACTGGACAAAAAAAATTGTCAAGGGGAACCTTTACCTTTACCTTTTTATCTCCTATGGAGGGCCCTGGGATGTATTTCTACAGGAATGTTTGTGATCGGGGTTGCCAGCTTTTTTTAACAGAAGTGAATCAAGCTGATTTCCAGACTGCCTATCCAGTTCAAATGAAATGAGAACAGGTGTGCCTGGGAGCTGAAACAGACTTTTGTGCACAGTCCTGAACATCTGCCATGACATAATAATTTAATCTCATCACACTTTAAAAAGAGTGGCTAATATCCTGCTGCCTAAACATGGGACAACAAGAGAAATTGCTTAAGAGTTCACCTTGCTTTGGCAGGTTCCCTGTAGCATGCCCATTCATTGTACTGGCGCTGCAGTCACCAGTGCAACAAAAACATTTCTCCCCCCCCCCAAAAAAAAACACACACACAGACCTTTCTCTCTGTGCCAGTTGGAAACAGCTATAGAGAGTAGGTTTCTGGTGTGTGTGTGTTGCAGTAGAGAGGGGAGGAAAAAAAGCCCTTCCTCCTGATTCCATCAACAGGTGCAGTCAGCAGATGTGCCTCCATCAAGTATTGGCCATTGGTACACTACTCTGCATTCTGAGCTATGCAAACAGAGGAAGAGTGAGTCAGTGTGTTTCTGGCAGTCAAAGCTGTTCTAGGGATGATTAGTGTTTGAATCCAAATTATGTCCACCTTGCAACTCACCACTGTTCATTACCACACATTTCAATTCTTTGCCATTCATCGGACAGAAAGTATATCTTTAAAAAAAACAACACTGCTGAATTTTACTGTAGTATCCTTAAGGATTGCATTGACACATCACTGTGAGATATCAGAGAACTAGAACTCTTATGGCTTATTTAGAGCCTCATGGTACAGTAGTCAAACTACAGTACCACAGTGAAGACTCTGCTCAAAACTTGAGTTTGATCCTGGGCTCAGGTAGCTGTCTTGAGGTTGACTCACCCTCCCATCCTTCTGAGGTGGGTAAAATGAATACTCAGCTCACTTGGGGTGTGTGTGTGTGTGTGGGGGGGGAAATGTATAGCCTGCATAATTAAAAACTGTAAACTGCCCAAAGAGAGCTTTAAGTACTATGGCACAGTACAGAAGCAGCACATTTTCCTTTATTTTAGGTGGCTGCTCTGATTTTTGCTCTGACTGTCATCCTTCAAAGTGCAGTAAGCATACTTCTGAGGATCATTTGATGTTCAGGAGCAGCTCTCTGTGTGTTCATACTTTTCAGTAGCTGGGAAGTGGGTGAATTATTCTGATGGGTGTTGTCTAATGCACCTAAAAGGTGTCGCACAATAGCACAAACCCATTCATGTCTATTCAGATGGAAGTTACATTAAATTCAGTGGGACTTTGTTTACTCCCAGGTAAGTGTATGTAGAGCTAGAGCTTCCTTGTTGCTGACTGAATGTAATGCGTTACCGTTTTAATGCTTTATTGTTTTATACAAGCTCCATAAACAGGAACTTTAACAATCATATTTTAGTATTTTTACAAATACCATATTTGAATACTTGTTGATAACTAAATATTTGTCAATCAAGTGTCAAAGTCTTATGACCTTGCAAAGGCATAAAATTGTTATAAGGATCTAAAGATGGCATGTCAGAGCCAATAGGGTGCTGTGGATAGAAAGATGAACTAGGAGACCAGGGTTCAAATAACTGATCAGCCATGGAATCTCAAGTCTTGTCTTTTTCTCTATGTGGGGGCATTGGTAAAATCACTTCTTAAATATCTCAACACACCATAAAAGCTCCTGCATATAACATAACAAAGAAGGCATATGCGTATATGAGTGCAGAACTGAGCATGCTGCCACTGTACAGATTCCTACCTCTACTTAAGGATTTCTCAATGCTCTAGGAATGACAACTTGGATACAGAGTTCCCATGAGCAGAACTCTGCTCATGGGGTGTTCTTGCCAGAGGAAGGTTGAAAGAGGCTACATTTATCGGTTCTTCCTTCCCATTGAAGCCCTCTGTGTTCCTTGACAAGCTGCTTAATGGAATTGGAAAAACCTTTAGAATAGTGTGGGAAATGGTGCTAAAGATGACATGGGAAAGGGGAGGATTGTTGAGAATCAGCTTCACTGGTCCTCAACTCCCTCTGTGAAAGGAAAGAGCCATTCTGTTGATAGAAAGAAAAATCTTGATTTAGCCAAGCAGTTCTTTTAGAACCAAACAGTGCCATATTCTTGCAGTAACTGCAACTGCAGAAGGGGAGGGGAAATGACAGATAAGGAAGCTCTATCTCCTCCCCTTGTCCATGCCCTCTTAATCACCATTTCCCACACTATTCTAAAGGTTCTTTTCTACATACCTGCGATTTTTTTTTGTTCAAGCCAACATGCTAAGCATAAAGAAATGAAATAACATTTCATCATCAAAAAAGGTATGCTTAATAGCAAAGGTGTTAAAATTGGCTGTCTGTCACATTTAACTGTAATAATTTAATTTCAATAAGTATCAGATTATTTTATGTTTCCGTGTTGATCCAATAAAGATTCTAAAAAATAAATAAATAAAGACCACATTTGTTTGCCACAAAATACACAAACTTGTAGTCCCTAATCTGATCTAATTAACTACTCAGTGCCTTTCTATCATTACCTTTTATCTATTAATTCTACCTCTGTAACAGATTTTGAATAAAGTATTTCATTTAATGGCCCTGAAGTTAACAAACCTCTGCTGTTCATCGTTTATGATGCCGGGGAAGAAAATAAAGGATTGCTCTGAGGGAGGATTCTGAATGTGATTTTGAAAGTAATATGTAACAAAACAAGTCATCGTCGGGTTCACTTACTGAGACAGGATTATGTGCAGACTCTGAAATCAGCACCCCTATAAACACTATCTTTATCCTTGATTAATTTCATGGCTTGTTTCAGTCAGTCTTAATGGCAAGGGTTAATGTAATTGAACATATTACAAGCAAGCAGCCTTGGCTGCACCTTGGTTAAGAAAAATATGTGAATTGGTGCTAAAGTTGTGTCTATTTTTAGGAAGCACAGTTGGTGCCTTTTGAAAATACTGTAGATTTTATTTAAAAGACAACAACATTCAGCAATATTTATGCTACAGATGTAGCCACAACTCCCATGTCTCTGGAATGGAGAAAGTCTGGCCCTTCGCTTGACTAGCCCTTCTCTGCCCCCTCCTGAGGGTTATTCTATTGATAGCACTTCTTTTGGCAGATTCTTCTGCTGGTAGATCTCTGAGATCAGCCAGCCGAATGGGATTGGGCCGCCATGAGCACATTTCTGGCAGCAAAACAGGATTCCTATTGGCAGAAGAGGCTTCTGCCTATTCCAGGCTCTCTACAGATGGAGCACCTTTAAATTAGGATTGTACTGTGGAGCTGTAGAGCCTCGGATCATTTTGCCTTTAACCGTGCTTTTAACAAGGGAAAAAGACTGCACACAGCATTCTTAATTACTGTTCTCAGAATCAGAGAAGGGATAATGGCGATTACTCTGCTGGCATCTGATTGCACTCTGCAAAATATTACGGCCACAGTCCTCGGCACATTTGTCCCAGTCTAAGCCCAGTAGGGCTTGCTTTTGAATAAACATGCCTAGGGTGCACCTTAAATTGTAAACAGGAGCAGCTGCAGCTGAATCGCATTTGTTGCCTTCTTTTGTAGCAGGGCAACGCCATCAAAAAGTTTAATTTTGAAATGACTTGACAATGCGGACAGGCTGAGGATTTATGTTGGCATGGTATAGAGCCATCTGCATTATGATGATTGAACCATTTCAAATGGTAGAAATGAAATACCTCCATCCGTATCTGGCTCTAAAATGCTCTCAAGTAAATGGATAAAATGAATAGACAAATCCCAGTATGAAACAACAATGTTATTACCATACACGCTGAGGTTAAAGATTACTAAGACCTTAGGCAAGACAAATTTCAGACAAGATAGAGTCTTGAAAGTTCAAGATATATGGAAGTGTCTCAGGATGAAGATGGGGGAAGAAGGTGCTCCAAATCTGGAAAAAGTCCGAAGTCTGCCAGATTGTTCAGAATCTCTGCCACTTAGCTTTCTTAAAACCATTCGATGTATTATGAATATTTCCAGCAACACTTATAAAATGAGCCAACATGCTTGTCCATTCTCAGTCAATGTGGCCTCTTAAGACAGCAGTATGAATATTCAGTCTTTTTCCAGGATGGAGTGGAAAA